ACCTATTCTAACCTGGTATCTCCACAAGTCCACTACCTCCCAATACCCCAATAGTTACAACCCGGCATAGCGACCATTCATTCTAACTTGGTATCTCCACAAGTCCACTACCTCCCAATACCCCAATAGTTACAACCAGTGACATAGAGACCTATTCTAACCTGGTGTATCTCCACAAGTCCACTACCTCCCAATACCCCAATAGTTACAACCAGACATAGAGACCTATTCTAACCTGGTATCTCCACAAGTCCACAAGCTCCCAATACCCCAATAGTTCCAACCGACATAGAGACCTATTCTTACCTGGTATCTCCACAAGTCCACTACCTCCCAATACCCCAATAGTTGCAACCGACATAGAGACCTATTCTAACTTGGTATCTCCACAAGTCCACTACCTCCCAATACCCCAATAGTTACAACCGGCATAGCGACCTATTCTAACCTGGTATCTCCACAAGTCCACTACCTCCCAATACCCCAATAGTTACAACCGACATAGAGACCTATTCTAACCTGGTATCTCCACAAGTCCACTACCTCCCAAAACCCCAATAGTTCCAACCAACATAGAGACCTATTCTAACCTGGTATCTCCACAAGTCCAATACCTCCCAATACCCCAATAGTTACAACCGACATAGAGACCTATTCTAACCTGGTATCTCCACAAGTCCACTACCTCCCAATACCCCAATAGTTGCAACCGACATAGAGACCTATTCTAACCTGGTATCTCCACAAGTCCACTACCTCCCAATACCCCAATAGTTACAACCTGACATGTGACCTATTCTAACCTGGTATCTCCACAAGTCCACTACCTCCCAATACCCCAATAGTTACAACCGACATAGAGACCTATTCTAACCTGGTATCTCCACAAGTCCACTACCTCCCAAAACCCCAATAGTTCCAACCAACATAGAGACCTATTCTAACCTGGTATCTCCACAAGTCCACTACCTCCCAATACCCCAATAGTTACAACCGACATAGAGACCCATTCTAACCTGGTATCTCCACAAGTCCACTACCTCCCAATACCCCAATAGTTACAACCGACATAGAGACCTATTCTAACCTGGTATCTCCACAAGTCCACTACCTCCCAATACCCCAATAGATCCAACCGACATAGAGACCTATTCTAACCTGGTATCTCCACAAGTCCACTACCTCCCAATACCCCAATAGTTCCAACCGGCATAGAGACCTATTCTAACCTGGTATCTCCACAAGTCCACTACCTCCCAATACCCCAATAGTTACAACCGACATAGAGACCTATTCTAACTTGGTATCTCCACAAGTCCACTACCTCCCAATACCCCAATAGTTCCAACCGACATAGAGACCTATTCTAACCTGGTATCTCCACAAGTCCACTACCTCCCAATACCCCAATAGTTCCAACCGACATACAGACCTATTCTAACCTGGTATCTCCACAAGTCCACTACCTCCCAATACCCCAATAGTTCCAACCGACATAGAGACCTATTCTAACTTGGTATCTCCACAAGTCCACTACCTCCCAATACCCCAATAGTTACAACCGACATAGAGACCTATTCTAACCTGGTATCTCCACAAGTCCACTACCTCCCAATACCCCAATAGATCCAACCGACATAGAGACCTATTCTAACCTGGTATCTCCACAAGTCCACTACCTCCCAATACCCCAATAGATCCAACCGACATAGAGACCTATTCTAACCTGGTATCTCCACAAGTCCACTACCTCCCAATACCCAGATAGTTCCAACCCATAGACATAGAGACCTATTCTAACCTGGTATCTCCACAAGTCCACAAGCTCCCAATACCCCAATAGTTCCAACCGACATAGAGACCTATTCTTACCTGGTATCTCCACAAGTCCACTACCTCCCAATACCCCAATAGTTACAACCGACATAGAGACCTCTTCAAACCTGGTATCTCCACAAGTCCACTACCTCCCAATACCCCAATAGTTCCAACCGACATAGAGACCTATTCTAACCTGGTATCTCCACAAGTCCACTACCTCCCAATACCCCAATAGTTACAACCGACATACAGACCTATTCTAACCTGGTATCTCCACAAGTCCACTACCTCCCAATACCCCAATAGTTACAACCGACATACAGACCTATTCTAACCTGGTATCTCCACAAGTCCACTACCTCCCAATACCCCAATAGTTCCAACAGACATAGAGACCTATTCTAACCTGGTATCTCCACAAGTCCACTACCTCCCAATACCCCAATAGTTCCAACCGACATAGAGACCTATTTTAACCTGGTATCTCCATCATGTCAGCTAGCAATAAAAATATGCAGCAGAAGCATTGGTGATAGACACCTGGATCACATCCTGGAGCCTTATGAGAGAGTTACACATTACACATTCACCCTGTGACCTTATGGCCAGAGGTTAAACTACCAGTTTTTGCTGACTGACACCACAATTTTTCTTTAGGGGTCAGTCCACACAGTGGTTTCACTCGTTGTCTGTGCAATAAATTGTTAAATGCAATGAACATGATTATGAAGATCCTGTCAAAAGGATTAAAATGCACACTGAACATCACTATGAAGATCCCAATGACCGGATTAAAATACATATATTGCATTGCACCTGAGCATGAGCGAGTGAGTGAGTTTGGTTTTACGCCGCTGAATTATATATATTCAGAGACTAAGCGTTAGTCTAGGTCTGCCACAGAATCACTGGTCTGTGATATCAATCATCAGAATATACCTCAACATGACAGTCAAAAGTTCAGGGGTGTCTGGAGTCACTAAAATTTTAAGCGCTGACTGTCAGCAAAAGATTCACCAAATGTTTTAATCTTTAGCACCAGGGTCGACAAAAGCATCTTTGACATTAATACTTTGACATTAATTCATTTAACATTGAATATTCTTTCACATCAATACAAATTCCTGTACATAAAAAAAATATGTATCAATTGGTGGATTATTTTGTACAGGCTCAACCTTACTCATATAACTGTACCCAAACACCTTTAGCACAACAGTCCAACAATCACCGGATTACAAATAGTCACAAGTCACAAATGGAAAAAGTGCTCAGTCTATTCTCAACTTCTGACTCATGCAGCAGTCATCGGCATACATTATCATTATAACACAACCCTCAATATTCACATTAAGCCATTTGCTAGTCTGTCAGCTAGCCCAAGACTACTAAATTGTGCTCAGGACAAATAAATATGCAATGGATGCAGTTTTCACTTACTAACACCATTTGAAGGCTACAATTCTGATCCAGTCCAGCATTAATTTTGCTACAAACTGAACAAAACCAACACACAGTATAATCATAGAATTTTTTTGTCTTGTTAAAGCATAAATACCTACAATATCAGAGACTACTAAAAAAATCACTCCAGCAATCTGGACTAGTCTTTTTAAAAAAGACAATTTTTTTATAATTCAACAACAGCCAGAGATCACAAGTGATAACCTTCAAATGGTGCTTTTATTGACTGAATATTAATTTCATTTCAAGTATGTAACACCTCATAAACGACTTTTTATTCATCCAAGGCCTTGCACATCAGAGGGACCGCCTTAGGCTACGACAAGGATATCTATTGCGTGGAGCTGAGCAGTTATTTCCCACTGGGTAAGTGTACAAGTACACAAGCATGACTGGAGGACAGAAATAGACCGGGTTACACAGTCTACTGCCCACTAGTGAGTAACTGACAGCTTGAAACGCAATCTCATTCTTTTCTGACTACTCACTGAACTTGTGTACCATGTTTACTAATAACAGTTTAACAAATACTTTTACAAATTCACTGACCTGAAAGTTAAAAATTGACAGTTTAAAGTTTGTGTGGACAATTTTCTATTTAGTGAACATGAACTCTTGTTATTCCATGGAGAGACTTTTTAATATATTTTTTCAACCTTTTACTTTTCAAGGTTCACATGAGACCATAAACATTTACTTTCATCATTTTGCCTAAATTTGATGTCTATACTTGCACGCTTCATACTGTAGTGAGTGAGTGAGTGAGTGTGGTTTTTACACCACTTTTAGCAATATTACGTCAGAGGACACCAGAAATGGGCTTCACGCATTGTACCCATGTGGGGAATCGAACCCGGTCTTCAGCGTGTCAAGCGGTCGCTTTAAACATTAATCTTAAACTGCCCTTTCATACTGTATTTTTTTATAATTTTGGGGTATTTCTTATAGACAAGTCATTTGATTTAGCATTCATTCAGCGTATTCAGCATATGACTGACATCTGCTAAAATATTGTGGTACTTAGAAGGTGATCACAAACATTTTCTAAAAAATGTATCACAAATCATCAGGGATATAAAATATAATAATAATCACATCTATACGATTATTGATATGAAAGCTGTGTCACTGGTAATATGTCTTATGAACTAGTGTGATGAACAAAGTTTACATCTAATACCTGTGACACCTTCAAATTGGGGACATACCATGTAGGGTTTGAGAATGAATGTTGTGTAAGCACGAGTTATATTTCCACATGTGGTCAGTGTTGCAGAGAAGCTAATGAGGAATTTGTCACACCAGGCATAGCAGCAATATTCTCAGCAATTTCAATCAAAGAACTCTTTCAAGTATACAACCCGAGCTGCCGGTGTGGTACAGGTCAAGAGGCACACTACCATCCCATCCTACCGGGTACCCATTTAGTGAAGGGTGACTTGCCAATGGAGAGACAAGTTACTCTAAGCCCTTGAAACTCTGAAGCAGCGGAACAAAATCATCCATCCAAATACTGTCGCTCCATTTTGTACACTGGAGGGTCAGATCTTACACAAAAGGTATGACATATGTCAACCAAGCTCATGGACTGACAAAAAATAATCATTGAAAATCAGGAATATGAACATGATGAACCATCAACAACAGTAAAATGAGACAACACTGCACAGCATCTTAGATACTGGGCAACACGTTCAATGTGCCACTGAGACAAAGCACAATGTGTATTTCAAACACACTTACCTAAATTCTGCCGTGGCTTGAAAAGATTCTTGCTCCGTGATAGAAAAGACACAGAGAAAACCTTCCCCACTACGAAAGTAATTATCCCGAATTGCTGCGTAGTCTTCCTGTCCGGCAGTGTCTAGGATGTCAATCTGCACCTCCTCTCCATCCAGCACTACCTTCTTCCGATACGAGTCGGCTTTTGTTGGTTCGTAATCCTCTACAAACTGAAGAAAAGACAGAAAGATTTGAGTGAGTGAAACCACTTCTGAATGTGTCACAAGAGACGAGTATGAAGACACTTGCAGCAATATTCCAGCCGGATTCTTACACTCGGAGGACAATTGGCTTCACATCACAACCGACTAGTAAGCAGCCAGCAAGCACTAGAGCTGCCATTTGCTTTCCTTCATTAGAACTCATCTGTGCAGAATAATGCAAGCAAACTCCAAATTATGCTTATTAACGGTTTCATCCATGGGTTTAACTGCTTACAGAACAAAGTTATTTATGTCTGATCTTGAACACAATGCTAGAGACAATATCATAGTATCTGAAATAATTACACAAACCAGAAACAAAAATATTATTGGTCACCATACTCAAATCCATGAAAATAGAATTACCTCCCCTTTAAAAGAAAATCATGTCCAATTAGAATTGTAATGACTTACAATGCATCTTGTAATAGTTCAGGGAAACATCCTGACAGGAAATTTGGAAAAAGAAATAACTTTGTTCAAAATTGTGATATTTTTTTGCTAAAATTTGGGCTAACATTGTATATTGAGATTTATTCAATGTGTGAGTTTAGTTTTTTACCGCTTTTCGCAATATATCAGCAATATCACGACTCGGGACACCAGAAATTGGCTTCACACATTGTACCCATGTCAGGAATCGAACCCAGGTCTTCGGTGTGACGAGTGAACGCTTTAACCACAAGGCTACCCCACTGTCCCCTTATTCAATCAATACCACAACAGAAAGTATTAAAAAACACTACCAATTCGTTGGTCTTGTTATCAATGAAGTAAGGATAAACCACAATGCAATAAAATTAGTTATAGGTTACATATATTAAAAACTTGGCGAATTTTACAATTGCAAACAGGAATTTTTTAATAAAGGAATAAGGCAATTTTAAATTCAAAATTGTGATTTATTCATGAATAGGGAAATTATAAATTCCAAATCAGGAATTTTTAAATGACGTTTGCGACAGATTTAGAGGGAAATATCAGCCTCTGCTCAGGTGTACATAACCCCTGTACTTTCCTCTTGATTATCATTGTAATAGTTTAATGGCAAAATTCAACTCTTACCTCATCATACATGAACTGTAATGTTAATGCCGACTTTCCCACGCCTCCACTTCCAACCATGATGACTTTATGTATCACCGCTGGTTGCTGCGTTTTAGCCTTCGACATGATGTCTCGGTTGTCCCGGGTTTTCTTTGGCCAACAACTAAACATGATTGAAAATGGAGGACAATTAGACTTGTGAAATGTATGCAGGTCAGGACAGACGGACAGACTTTGGAGAACACCAGACAGCCCTACTGTGACAAATCCAGCATGATCTAATACACATTCTAGTATAAATAATGAGATAATTTTAGCTCCGCCGGTAGAGGCTGTCTTCCTGCAACTGGTTGTCACTGTAGGGAACGTAGGAGATGGTGCTAGACCTTTGGAGAAAATCAATAATCTGCAGGGCAACAATGCCAATATCTTTCTTCCACATGTAGGCTCAGTCACAAAGTGTCACATCGGCACTTCTGTGCAGAGTACCGAGCACTGTGTATTTCTGGAACCGGTAGCTATGACATAAGGCTTTGGCTCGTGGATATACCAATCATCTTGAACACGTTAAACAAACAGCTGTATTATAATGAGCCCAATTCATAATATTTGTACAAATATCATCAATAGAGAAGGATTTTCTTGAATGACAGTGAACTGATCATTATTACAAAGCTGGAGCCCCCATTTTACTGAAAAAAGGCAAAAATATTCATTTGATAGTGATACTACATGCCTAATGAGCAGTGATAACCTAAGAGAAAATTTAAAGATAACAAAAATCTAAAAAAACAAAAACAATGGAGAATTTTGTTGATCAGCCATTTTGAAGTAATGTTGCCGTCCATGTGCTATGATTTTCCATCTTGGTTCCACTCGGGTGCAGCATGACATCAACATTGAATCATTATTGATTTTCTAAGTGAGTCACATGGAAGACTTGGGTTGTATCATCACTAGGGCTGTAACGAATACACTATGTTGCGAATATGATACGTATCACGAATATTAGGTAACGAATACGAATAATTATTCATGAATACAATATTGTAGTTAATTGATTGATGCACAATATTGAATGCCCATGTTGACAGTGTTAATTTGTCTCAGCAATAACCAGTCATCTCAAGACACCTACATTTTGTATGTAATAGTTATAGTTGACAGTAACATGTCCGCCCTTGGCAAACTAACATGACTTGGGCTACTACAAGGCTAGTACATATTGCATTCTTGCATATCTCGTTTTGAAAAAGGACATAAGGGTTGAAGTAAAACACACTCCCTTATAAAAATTGTAAATATTCATGAATATTCGGTTCTTATGACCACGAATAACGAATTGAATTCATGAAGGGCTACGGTTCGATTCTTCGAATATGCGAGTGAATCGTTACAGCCTTAATCATCACCATCATTTAAACCACAACGACAATGTAACATACAGCAAGGGCTTCACCAACATGCTCGGATCTGTTGTTGCTGACACATATTGTTACAAATATCAGTGTTCAACAGTTTCATTGTTTCAAACTAAGTCAAGGGACCTACTCATGATCCTCCTGTTAAAAGTTACACATTTTGGATTCTCCAGAATCAAGTATCATACCAAGAGTGCACTTGTTCTTGGACCCTAAGGATTTTAATTAATTATTTTCTAACCCATCATAGTGAGGGAGTGAGTATGGTTTTACGCCGCTTTTAGCAATATTCCAGCAATATCACGGCGGGGGACACCAGAAATGGGCTTTACACATTGTGCCCATGTGCTAACCCATCATAACCCTGATGGTATCAGAGATTCATATTGCTGAAACTAAAATGACTGACACTCTGGGCCCCCATTAATATAATTTTTGGTTTGTTTGTTGTGTAACGCCACTCTCAGTAACATTCCAGCTATACAGAGGTACAGATAAGCTGCGTATCTGCGTAAATTACGCATATATTTATGTGAAAACTCAATTCCTATCAAGACTATTTCGTACAAGTACGCTTGAATTTTTGTAAATACTCAATAAATGTGACCATACATGCGTACACACAAATATGTGAAATCTAAGCTTGCGTACCGGTGGATAAATAGAATAACTGTGGTATAATGAGACATTCTGTTTCAGGACATGAACTTGGCAACTTGCAGTCTTTCTTATCGTTTCTCATATTACAGATCAAATATAAATAACAAACACTAACATTTAAACTTTATTGTATTTTTAAAATTAATGGAAAAAGCAAAATACCCAATTGAGTTTGAGTGAGATGAGTACAATTTATTTAGTTACTCAAAGGAAAATTAGGATGCCCAATTGGGATGAGCACAAGCGAGTACATAACTCAATGACCCCAAAAGTTATCTGTAGCTCTGGCTATATGATGGCAGTCTGTACATAATCGATTCTGGACCAGACAACCCAGTGATCAACAGCACAATAGGGATATGTCATGTCATCAAGCCTGATGCCGTTCTTTGCCTCTTAGGACAAGCATGAGTTGATGAAGATCAATTCCATCCCAGATCTTCACGTGTGGGCTGTGGGATGATTGAACTATTGCATTGTTAACATAATCCTTAACATTATTTATAGATCACCGCCATTCACCGGAATATTGACATCATTGGGAATTATCTCATGGAACGTCCATTTGTCCAAAGACACACTTTGTGTACGCTGACTGTACAAGAGTGAGTTTAATATTACGTCGCACCTAGCAATATCCCAGCTACATGGCAGTGGTCTGTAAATAATCGAGACTGGACCAGACAATCCAGTGATCGACAGCATGAGCATCGACCTACACAATTGGGACATGATGACATGTGTCAACCAAGTCAGCAAGCCTCACCACCCGATCCCGTTACAAGCATGGGTTACTGAAGATCAGTTCTAACCCGGACCTTCACGGCTTGTCTGTACATGAAGCCTAGTGTCTTGTATGATAGTAGGGTCATGAGAAGGACCCATTGACTTTCAGCCTTAATTTCAAACATTGATCAGCTTTCATAATTAAGGTTGGTCTTGGGGCCTTTGTGATTATCCCTTGCAGTACTGAATCCTCTCAATCTAACTTTTAACATGAGTCATGAAAAGGGTGGCTTGACTTTCATACTATACATCATCCACTGCTGATGATATATCAACATCATGTGACCACAGCAGTAGAAATCTGAACTGAATGATTCCCGTCAAAACAGAGCCAGCAGAGCATCATTGTTAGCGAGCTGTGTTATTGATGTTGTGACACAGAATCAATCTCCGACAACCGTGGAAAGGTAGTCAACCTCTAGCCATGGCCTGTGTGTAGGACATAGGACACTGTGTGAAAGTTGTTGATTTAGTACCATACACTAGTGTTGGGAATTAGTTAAAATCTCATAATTGATGATTGGTTTATTACAACCGATCAATCATCGAAAAAAATTGGTTAGCGTCATTAATGAAATTTGTTAATGCACATAAAAATAAGGAAAAAACATGGAGTTCTTTTGGGTTTTTTGGCAAAATTTCACATCTTTAAAGGATGACTAGTATGTCAGGAACATAAATTTCTTGGAGTCTATAAGATAAATTCAATCAAGACTTGAAACGAGCTTGTAGTGCTTATGAAATGTGATAGACAAAACCAACCTTGTGAAAAATATTGTTAATGAAAACAAGTCTTCCAGAATTGTTTGTGTTCGATTATGAGAAAACATGATCGATTGCTTGGTCGTTTAGTCACTGCGACCAATCTTCGATTATTTCAATTAATCGGACCACCACTACCATACACCATATTTGAGTGAGTGACATATTTCAATTTGATGAAAGAGGTAAGAAGACACTGGTTAAGCAATATACCAGCTATATGACGGCAATCTGTAAATAATCAAGTCTGGAACAGACAATCCAGTGATCAACGGCACTCTGACAAATAGCTATGTGGGCTTGGTTAAACCATGGTACAAGGGATTGATAGTGTGAGCATTATAGGTGTGAAGACACAGAGAGGTGGCAGTTCGATATGCATTACAGTATGAGTGTCATATGATTTGTATCCTGATAATGTACTTTCATTTGAAGAGTTCATATTCTCTCCTTTTCTGCAGGTGAATCAAAATTTCAGATCACAAAAATGGGATATTGTATAGGAGAGCTTGTGAGCAGTGTCCAGATTCTGCTATTACAGTCAGTCACAAACTACTCAAACTCTGAATGAACTGGTTCTTGTACACTTTCTGTTTTTCTTTAGATCATATCAATTAACTTGTAGTGTAATAAATTGTGTTGTATATTGCGATACCAGAGTTGTAACTCAGAGTAATATAGTGAGAACAGACTAACATCTTGCAGGTTTATGCATGATTGTTACGAGCCATTTATTTTATGGTGCGCCAACCGGACCCACCAGGTCATGGAATAGTGCGTCATGTTTTACTACTATGTTTCAATGGCGCATAGGTGCGGTCTAAAATAGACACTGCATCTAGTCTCTGAAATGATAATAATTAACTGAATGACAGGTTCTTAATGTTGATAAAATAAAATAAAAAGGAGCCCAGAGACTTTCTTCTGAAGCTGTGGTAACGCAGACTTGCCACAAATTCTTAGACTTGCCACACATCCCAGGGATTTGTTGTTGTTTAACATCACACTCAGCAATATTCCAGCTATATGGCGGGTCGCACATTCTAGACTTGCATGGGCTGTATTTGTCTCAGGATGTAACTGACAGGCTGTATCGTGAGCCTAGTACCATGATACAATACAGGGGTGGAAATAACTTTAAAATTGCTAGTGTACTCATGTACAGTGGCACATGTAAAATCACTTGCCCTGATAATTTTTCCACTATACCGGCCGTTTTCTTGTTGATTTTTCAATTAAACAACACAATTAACATTGGAATATAAACTGGACACCGGTACAGTGTGATATACAAATTTGCTTGCCCGACAGAAAAAAACACTGGACTCGGGCGTCAGGCAATGGGTTATTTCCACCCCTGCAATATCATTGCTGTATGTTACACTACTAGAGAGCACATGTGAAAGAACATACCACATCACAGTGTGTCAGCATGAGTCAAGAAAGAGATGCCAGTCACTTACACTTACCACCGTGTGAGCAAGGATTACACTGTAAGGTTATAATTACTTATCAATTAGCCAGGTGGCTTCAAGAACCTCCCCAGTGATCCTTCACCAAGTAGTGATGTTGGAAGGAGGTAATTGGCCGCTGGTCTGAGGCGGTTTGCCTGATTTGACGTTTCAGGTGAGGTGAAATAGATTTTAACATTGTATTCAAGTCATGTGACTATAATCTTCCAGCACCTAACAGGCACTACTAGGCACTATATAAATGAATTGTTATTATTATTATCATTATTACTTATATAGGTGCATGAATGTGTGAGTGAGTGAGTGAGTTTAACCCCGCACTCAGCAATATTCCAGCTATATGGCGACGGTCTGTAAAAATACGAGTCTGGACCAGACAATCCAGTGATCAACAGCATGAGTATTGATCTGCACAATTGGGAACCGATGACACGTGTCAAACAAGCCAGCGAGTCTGACCACCGATCCGGTTAGTTGCCTCTTACGACAAGCATGGGTTACTGAAGGCTCATTCTAACCCGGACCTTCACGGGTGCATGAATGTGTGTGAATCTTGGGCTCGCAATGTAGCATGATTTTTAAAGACTGTTATCGAGACTGTAAACTAATGCTCAGTCTCTGATTATATATCATGTTGATAGAAACAAGTACTTTCGTTTTAACCGCGAAGGAGCCCCAGTGAGACGGGGGATTCAGAACCTGAAGAAAACAAGACTTACTTCATTGAGGGATTTAGCATTACAGTGAGTGAGTGTGTTTAGTTTTACGCAGCACTCAGCAATATTCCAGCTATATGGCGGCGACCTGTAAATAATCGAGTCTGGACCAGACAAACCAGTGATCAACAGCATGAGCATCGATCTGCACAATTGGGAACCGATGACATGTGTCAGACATGTGTCAACCAAGTCAGTGAGTCTGACCACCCGATCCCGTTAGTCGCCTCTTACGACAAGCAAAGTCGCCTTTTATGGCAAGCATGGGTTGCTGAAGACCTATTCTACCCCGGATCTTCACGGGTCTTAGCATTGCAGAAAGGGCTTGGCAGAAGGGAAGATAATGTGATCCAAGGACTGTGAGACTGTAGACTAACGCTTAGTCTCTGAATATATATGTTGATAAAAACAAGTACTTTCGTTTTAACTACAAAGGAGCCCCAGTGAAATGGGAGATTCAGAACCTGAAGAAATCTAGACTTCTGTCATTTACATTATTGCAGAAAGGCTAGAAGAAGGTAAAATAATGCAGTTCATTGACTGTGAGACTGAGACTGATGTATGCATCATGAGATGTATAAGTATGTGCAGGGATAGAAATACTTTTTTTCTAAGTGTGCCTTAGGGCACCAGACAAATATTTGTGTGAAATCAAGTGTGCCCACATGTTTTAGAATAAATGACAATGATGATGGTCATTTGAAATCTATTGTTATTATGTTAAATAAAGAAAGGGGCTTATGAGCATTCAAATATGTATGGCATTATTCAATTTTTGCGAAAAATAATTGTTTTGGGGATTAATTGACTAAATGTGAGTTATGTCTAAAAAAATTACCGGGTAGGTGTGTCATAAGGGCCCGAATTTTTTTAGCCGTGTCATTTCAGTATTTACCGTGCCATGGCACGCTAATATATAGGTATTTCAACCCTGATGTGTGTCCGGTTTGTCATGACTTGCCAATGAGATGTAATCCTGATGTATGTGATGTCATCACTGAGCTAACAAGACAGAAGCCGTACTACAGCTTAATGACAGCGACCACTAGTAATCAAGCACTGACAAGATGGTCTGATGATCACTTATCCCAGTCTATATGATAAATGAGGCAGGAAAACCTCAAGTGATGCAGGTCGTGGGTAGATGTCATAGCCTATAATCATGGATTCAAATCTGTTAGGATAAGCTCATCCTGCCACAACTCAAGCATCTTCTGCTACTGGAATGAGTGCAGCCTTGCTCCAAGGATGTACTGAAAGCTGAGCCCATGGATGTATAGTAATTCTATCCTTCGAGGAGGCAAGTCTAGTTAAATGGACAGTAGCCTAAGGACCCCATCTCTTATTTACTATTTCTTTAGAAACTATCATTTAACAGGGCTCCAGATAAGGGCCGTATCGACGTATGTACGGATAAAAAATATGCACGATACGGTAGGAAAAAAATTAGAAAACGTAGCAGATACGCACCACAGAAATGGTGTACGGTCTTAGAATCATTTACAGACGTATTTCTCTGAAAAAGTATTGTTTTATTGTTTATTGACCTGTTTACACAAGAGCAGCAATGTTGTGGTGCATATATGAAACGAAACACAAGATTACTGATACTCCATTAAATTCCATTCAGTACTATAAATGTACACGTTTTCCATTACTCCTATATTTGGAAAATGAAGAGTACGTACTCCTGAAGTTGAAAAATTATCTGGAGCCCTGATTTAAACTATTAATTTTTACCTTAGAGACTTGTGTAAGTCTAGAGTGAGTGTGAGTTAGTGAGAGAGGTTTTACTTCGCTTTTATTCCAGCAATATCACGACGGGGGACACCAGAAATAGGCTTTACACATTGTACTCAGGTGGTGAATCAAGTCCAGGGCCCTGTCTCACAGAGCTCTTGTAGCGCTAAGACTCTTGTCAGTCAATGTTACAGAATAGGAAGTACCGGTATGAAGGCTACGAGAAAAGTTAAGAGATGTTAGGCTTACGAGAGCTTTGTGAAACGGGGTCCAGGTCTTCAGTGTGACGAGCTAACACTTAAACCACTAGGCCACCCCACCCCTCCGCTCCTTGCACTACTGGACCACATGCCCTGACTAGATCTACAGTTTCTACCAGAGTTTATATCTGCCTCATTGACATGGATCTTCACCTTGTTGTTATACCAGTAAGACAATACATGATCAATAACAGAGCTTTCCATATAGTCATATAACCCATGATAACATTCATCATGAGCTGGTATTTCAGGAAATAAATAAAATGAGCCTTCATCTTCACATTGCCTCATCGTACATTCACATAAATGTACTTGAGCTGAATTAAAACATCACAGCCTTATATTAGCATCATTTCCTAGATATTTTCAAATCATCCCTCATTCTGTAAGAGTGAGTGAGTGAGTTTAGTTTTACGCCCCACTCAGCAATATTCCAGCTATATGGCAGCGGTCTGTAAATAATCGAGTCTGGACCAGACAATCCAGTGATCAACAGCATGAGCATCGATCTGCGCAATTGGGAACCGATGACATGTGTCAACCAAGTCAGCGAGCCTGACCACCCGATCCCGTTAGTCGCCTCTTACGACAAGCATAGTCGCCTTGTGTGGCAAGCATGGGTTGCTGAAGACCTATTCTACCCCGGATCTTCACAGGTCCATTCTGTAAGAACAAAAACTGATGCACTAACCTGACCTGAGCCCAGTTTAATTCAAGATGATCACAGACTGGCAAAGTGCAATGCATGCAATTTGCTAAGTGGTTTTAACACCTATTTCACAAATATTTGACATGGACAAGAATGTACAAATAACCTTTTCCTGAAACCATGGGCATGAAAAGATGTCAAACAAGACTTTGAAAGGAGTAACATGTTGCCCTGGTTTCATTAAGAAAAATACACTGAATGAGTGAAAATTTCAATATATGCCACATCTAATACCTTCAGCAAATCTGATCACATCACTATTACAATATGAATAGTGAGTGAGTGGGTTTAGTTTAACGCTTTTTAGCAAATATTCCAGCAATATCAATGGCAGGGGACACCAGAAATGGGCTTCGCTCATTGTACCCATGTGGGGAATCGAACCAGGTCTTCAGCTGACAAGCAAACGCTTTAACCACTAGGCTACCCCACCACCCCAAAAATATGAATAGCATTGCTCTGGAGACTGGACACAGGAACTGTGTCAAGTAGAAAGGCTTCCCTTGACAAGAACATACTGAAAGAGTGAAAATTTCAACATGTCTAAAATGTCCACAGAAAACAACAAAACCATCACATCCTGATTAAAATATGAACAGCCTTGAATACCATCTGAAATGTTCAAAAATTTAGCTACTCATATGTTCACATATACATATCAGTCTGCAAAACAGGTACTCTAAAATAGTAAGACTGAATTAATACGACTGCCTTGGACAAATGTTAACCACTAATATGGAATGACATGTTCAAACTAATGATAGATAAATAATGATAACAAAACAAAACAATACACTCGGAAGTTGGATGGCAACCAATGTCCTCAGACATGAACAGGTTTTGAACCCCAGCAAGTCTAATAACCTGAAATGAATACATAAGGTGCAACAAGGCTCTGAATCAAACAGTTGATAACATTACTACAAAAAATAGTTATCATAAAAATATGATAACAACACAGACAGTGTGTTACTGATAGATATTTTGTGTGCTGGTGGGTCAAAATGAGCCGATGTCAGTAAGCTTATCAACATTGATGTTTCAGCTTTTGACTTCTTTGTGACCCAGTGATAGGCCAGCCCTACATCACTACTCTGCTAAACTGTGAAGACAACGCCCTGATTAACTGTGCTACATGCACTGCATGAACTAACGGTGTGCACGAATATCTTTTTGAGACCAGACACAACTGTCCGAAAGGCAAGATAGAAACTTCATCGTTGGGACAAAAGCTCCGATTCTGATGAAATATTCCATTGAAAAGTTGAACCGGTGTCCAAAACCGTTCGACGTGACCTACATAATCCTCTACATAACTTGTTGTATTGGCGACGTCAATAACTGTTTTGACAGTTAAGTAGCTGTCAGGTTTTTGTTTAAATCGAATCAGATTTAGTTACAGGTCCTGTTATTTTTTCCTGTCCCGTTCGAAACAGGAACTTGGCGAACGGCCCACGCAAAATTTTGACAGCACACTGACAATTCTTCGTAAAACGTAAAGAAAAAGGCAACTGATTGTATCTAATTAATCTAAAAAAATACTTACATGAAAATTGAACAGCCTCGTGACCTTTAAAGGCTGCTTATAACCAATGAGCGGTTTAAAATATCACTTAAGCGTACAACTCTTTTCATTAGACTTTAACTTTCCCGAAGTGGAAATGGCGAGCACTCTCCACTGAATGCTGGGACGGATCCTATATACCGCACGGCTATTTTTATCTATCGACTAATGCTAATAGGCGTCTGTTGTAAACACCGTATTTACATGACACAATTTCCCAGCTACAAGTGATATCATCTTGCTAAATAAAGTTATTAGTTGGATATGAATGCATAGAAGTGACCTGACGTTTATGTGCTACTTATGTTCAGATCTGAACGTATTTCTGCTACAAATTGGTCCAATTCAACCTATGGTGCGAAAACAATATTTATAAAACTATTTACATTTCCTGCCGAATGACGAATGCTCATTTTTCATAACATTTCTTCGAAATAAAAGTAAATAGCCACAGTTCATTCATCCGTTGCTTATTATTAGGTCTATCTGATGTATGATGAAATTAAACTGATCATAAAAATATATGTCAATAGTAGTTTTGAAATATGGATAATAATATATGTTATATGTTACCTTAGACACTTTCTATTTGTGTTTAAAATTATTTAGAGCGTTTCAAAAGAATTACCATGTCTTTAATTCCTCAAAACGTACAATATTTAAGAACTGGCAATGATTTTAGATAAAATACCATAGAGATATTAAATCTGATAAATGTGAATCCTTCCTGTAATTTTGACGTGGCCTCTAAGTCCGAGCGTCATGAATGGTCCAAAGATGTAGAGACTATCACCTCCTATTTCCATATCTTGCCCTGTATCATCCCAAGACGCCCATATCTGACTTGAGGCCGTTAGGGAGGGTAATAAAATGGTTATCACATACTGACATAAAAAGCGTGCCAGATACAGGTCCATTAAGAGCATCTTCACATCACATTCAGTTTTTCTTCTTGTGTTTTCGTTTTCATACTTTCAACATACATCAGAGAGCATTTCCTCCTTCTCCACTAATTCATCTAGTTCTATCAATCTGTTGTAAAACGACGCCTCACATATTCCCTCATGAAAGATAGCCGCAATAAACTGATCGTCATTTTATTGTGTTACGTTCCATGACGTCGCACACAAAATTGACGGGTAGGGAAGATACGGGTTATCTCGCCGGGTACAGATATGGACCCAACGATTTCGCCAATATCGGGCCATAAAAATGCATATTCGGGGAAAATTACTGTATTATGCGATAGGCATATTTTGTCTCTTCAAATCGTCTTGAGGTTAAAGTAGTGTTTAATAATAGATTTACTATAATCAGGGAATCAAGGCTTTGTCGGGTTTTTCAGTTGTTGTGATTTGTGTGTTTGCTTGGTTTTGTTTTCCTATATTTTTGTTCGTTTTGTTTGTTTGGGTCTTTTTTAAAAATGACCACAGTGTTTCTAAAGAAATGTTGTTCTTGATTTTTCGTTTCATTACAGTATATTTTTAAGCTGTGTGTTGATTTTTCTGTTTCATTACAGTATATTTTAAGCTGTGTGTTCTGTACATTTTATGCTGTCTTTAAAAATGTCACACACACACACATTATTATTGTGCACAGTGCAAAATAATGTCGGCAAACTATTTGAATGAATGTCGCCAGCTCTTATATAACAAGATGGCTCATACGGCAATATGAGTTAGCTCCCTGTTCTACGTTCCATGCGCCTTGTCACCATGACCATGTTAAATTTTTAAATTCACAACCAGATCCTTGGCAAATGTTAAAATTGACATGAATCATACTTTAGTCCATCCAATAGCTCATGCAGTATAGTTATTGATGGGATAGGATATATATTCTAAATATATTTGAAATTTTATAACTAGTATATCCGACTAGAAAAAGAGCAAAACGAATCATAAGAGAATAACCCACTATATTCACGAAACGTTCATTATTCTTAAATTGTCAGTTTTGCTTCAGAAACTTAAAGGTAGTTTTGCGAGTGAATGTGTTGCTTTCGCGCCGTTTTCAACAGCATGTTATACTACCCATCAAAAGTTTAGACTCACCAGTGTAAAAGTAGCCACTTACTTCTGTCAATTGTTCTAAGGTATATTTTGCGAAATATTCCATACTGTTTAAAGGTACTGTTTACACATGAACTGATGTATTGTAAAACAAATTCGTAACGTTGAAAAGATTATTGTCATGAGTTCAATAAATGATAACACTTAGTGAAAATTGGCGAATTCCTAACACTATATTTAACCAAAACGCAGCTGTTCATTACATGCACGATATTTGCACATGCTTTTCAGCAATTTGATGCATGATCCTCGAGCAATTCATCAGAATAAGGTTTGAAGTTGGTTCCCTCAAGTTAGTGGAGAAATTCATCTTTTATGTAACCATATATACATACATAACATATAGTGAATGCTTTAGTGAATCTAAACTTCTGATGGGTAGTATAGTTACACTCACTCACTTACACAATATCATATTAATTCAGGTCACTAGGAGAGAATGTGATGTTGATAAGGGCACTATATTTTCCCGAGACTTCGTTCAAGATGACTCTATTCCAAAACACAGATCCACACTGTAATCGGATACGTTTTGGTAGTATCACAAATTGACCCATGAAGATTCGGGTTAGAATTGGTTTTCAGCAACCCATGCTTGTCGTAAGATGTGGTCAAGCATGGTTGACACAATGTCATGTCATCGTATCCCATTTACGTAGATCGAAGCTCATGCTGTTGATCACTGGATTGTCTGGCCCAGACTTGATTATTTACAGACCGTCGACATATAGCTGGAATATTGCTGAGTGCGGCGTAAAACAACAAGACAACCAACCAACCAAGTATCACAAAATACAAGGAACATTGAAATCACACAACATGAGAAAGCACGTACCAGCCAAATGGTTACATGACATGTTGTATGGATAACAGTTTCTTTTTTATTCTTTATACGACATTTCAGAGCTAATTCTTGCTCCTTCATCAGGTGAATATTCACCTGTCATGTATTCATGTTCGTCCAACTTCTTAAATCCCTTCAAAAACTTCAGCAAAATGATTGGCCCTATCCAATATGTAGACCGCCTCCGTGGTGTAGTGGTAAGAGGGTCCGCCCGGAGTGCGGAAGGTCGCGGGTTCGATCCCCGACCGCGTCATACCAAAAGACGTTAAAATATGGTACTTGTTGGTCCCTGCCTGGCGCTCGGCATTAATGGGTACAACAAGGACTGGTTGGCTCTGAGTCAGTATAATGTGTCTGAGTGGGGTATTCATGCTTCACTGCAGCATGGTATCACAGTGGGCTAGCACTATAAAACCAGCTTCAGTCTGGGCTAGTACAAGCAGCCACACATACACATACACACGCATGCACGTCGTCATATGAGCGAAATATTCTCAAGCACGACGTTAAACCCAATTCCACCACCACCTCCACCAATATGTAAATTAGTTCTTCACATTCTCCTGTTTGGGTACATGCAGCGTTCGCTCGTCACGCCGAAGACCCGGGTTCGAATCCCCACATGGGTACAATGTGTGAAGCCCATTTCTGGTGTCCTTCGCCGTGATATTGCTGGAATATTGCTAAAGCGGCATAAAACCCAACTCAGTCAGTCAGTCAGTACATTCATTTTGTTTTATTGTTGCACAATTATTAACAGAGTATTAGCCATAAGTTCAAATGTAATGAAATTACTGAAAAAAATGCACAATTTTAGTTGACGTCATGGCTTGTTTTACGTTTTGCAACATCGGATAAAGAGTGAGTGCGTAAGTTTAGTTTTACGCCGCACTCAGCAATATTCCAGCTATATGGCGGCGGTAATTAATTAATTTGGACCAGACAATCCAGTGATCAACAGCATGAGCATCGATCTGCGCAATTGGGAACCGATGACATGTGTCAACCGAGTCAGCGAGCCTGACCACCCGATCCCGTTATTCGCCTCTTACGACAAGCATGGGTTACTGAAGATCACTATTCTAACCCGCACCTTCACGGATATAGGATAAAGATGTCGGCATGTTAACTAGTAGATATCTCACCTAAATAAGTAATAAGTAGAATACTCTATGCTAAGTAAAAAAGAGGGGAATTTCATTTTTTATTTATCATTAAAACAATTGGGAGATATATTGGTGTCAGTCAATGTTGATATGATAATAATGAATGGTTTGAGAGTGCATCACCACTTGCACTTCCTTATCACCATAGCTGTTTATACGGTAATCGCTCTTGAAAGATTATTGGGGCATGACGTGAAATTTGACGTCTACGATTTGGTATCCTCCCCAAACTTCCACATCCCCAAACTTCCACAGCTTATAACAACAACATTTCTGGTTGACTGCACACACTTCACCATACTGATTACCTGTGATGGTTAAACCCATTAATCAGTAATGAATACAAACTGTCACTTAGTAATAAATTATATATTTTATTAAGTCAGGGCTATTAACAAAAATACATATCTTTTCTAGTTACATATAACAGCCTATGTAGAACATTTATATAAAACCTATGTCGTATAGTGTCCAAGATTTCACCCGCATATTTGACAGTCATAACCCTGTCACTCTATGCTGTTGGAGCCTTATATACCGTCACAGTGTCAACGTGCAGTCTTTATCTGTTTTATACATGACAGGGACACTCCATATGTAAATCTTTTACCTATTACATATTTTTTAAACATATTGAAATATCTGACTGACAAATTTCATTAAATTATCTTACAAAGTAAACATATCAAACTGGCTATTGTTACAAATGTCACTACCGTTGTTGTGTCACTACCATAACAATTAATGCCAATGTCCAAACCATAACATTATCAATTTCCTTATTTAATTAAAATTGTTTTATGTGTTTATGCCTGGATTTGGCAGTGCAAGTATGTTTGGCAGTAGAGCCTCAAGTAAGCATAATACAATTCATATTCTCATTTTGAATTTTTCGGTACATGTTACTTATATTTGCAAATCAGAATTGACAGGAATTGTTTGGCTTGTTGGACCCTTTTACGCAATAAATATAAAATTTTAACACTCATTATATTGTAAAACTACATATTTTGACATACATCTACATCAAATGTACAT